AAGGAATTACATGGCGAGCCAAAAAGCTTTTGAAACTGATTCATACCGATATTATAGATCCATGAAGACAACTTGTCATGGAAGTAACAAGTATTTCATCCTTTTCATTGATGATTTTTTAAGAATGACTTGCAGTGATTTCATGAAAGAAAAATTCTAGATGTTTTCAATTTTTAAGAAGTTTAAAAGTCTTATTGAAAAACAAAGTGATTGTTACATCAAGAAGTTGAAGAGTGATCGTGGCAAGAAGTACACATCAAATGCATTCCAAGAATTTTCTAAAGATGAAGGTTTGAAAAGGCAGTTAACTATTGGCTACATACCATAACAAAATGGAGTTTTGGAAAGAAAGAACCAAACTGTGATAGAGATGGCAAAATCTATGTTACATGACAAAAACTTGCCAAAGAAATTTTGGGTCGAAACCATTTATACAGTTGTATATTTGTTCAATCAAAATCCTACAAAACTGTATGGAATCAAACTCCAATTGAAGTATGGAGTGAAAGGAAACCGTCAGTGAAACACTTGAAGGTTTTTTGGGGCATTTGCTATACTCAATTCCATAAGAAAAGAGGTACAAGTTTGATGAAATAAGTGGAAAATATATTTTTGTTGGTTATAACTCCAAGTCTAAAGGTTATAGATTGTTTACTTTGAAGACAATCGAAATCATTATTAGTCGAGATGTTGTATTTGATGAAAATATTGCTTGGAATTGGGATGAGAAAAAGATTGTGAAGCAAGTTGTTTGGCATCATGAAGAAGAAGAAAATTCAACAAATGAAGAAGAAAATGGTGATGATTCAGCACCAACAAGCAGTCCACCATCATCTCTAAGTTCAAGTTCGAGTTCAAGTTTGAGTTCTCCAAACTCAACTCCAAAGAAAATGAGGAGTTTGAGTGATGTTTATGCAAGATGCAATTTTTGCATTCTTGAACCAGAAAATTATGAAGAAACATATGCAAAAAAGAATTGGAAAAAGATAATGGAAGATGAAATTTATGCAATCGAGAAAAATGAGATTTGGAAACTAGTTGAAAAGTTTCAGGACAAGGAGATCATTGGTGTCAAGTGGATTTACAAAGTCAAACTGAATTTGGATGGTTCAATCCAAAAGAAGAAGGTAAGACTTGTTGCTAAGGGTTATTCATAGCAGTTCGGGATTGACTACAATGAAACATTTGCACCGGATGTAAGATTTGATATAATTAAAGCTCTCATTGCCGTGGTAACCCAAAAAGGTTGGAATCTCTACCAACTTGATGTTAAATCTGCCTTTTTGAATGGAGAATTGAAGAAAGAGATGTATGTTCAACAATTTCAAGGTTTTGTCAAAGAAGGACAAGAAGACAAAGTGTATAAGTTGAAGAAAGCATTGTATAGATTAAAACAAGCTCCAAGGATTTGGTATAGCCAAATTGATTCTTACTTTATGGAGTAAGGATTCAAGAAGAGTAAAAGTGAGCCAACCTTATATGTGAAAACTCAAGGTAACTCAAACATTCTCATTGTTGCTTTATATGTTGCTGATTTGCTTTACACCAGTAACAATAAAAAATGATTGCTGATTTTAAGAAAGACATGATGAAACGATATGAACTGAATGATAGGGGACAACTACATCATTTTCTCGGTATGGAGATTTATCAATATGATGATGGAGTCTTTATTTGTCAAAAGAAATAAGCTGAAATTTGGCATGGCTTGTGAAATTTGGCATGGCTGATTGTAAACTTATGGTCACACCACTTACTGTAAGTGAAAAACTTGTCAAAGAAGATGGTGAAAAGAAAGTTGATTCTATTTTATATAAAAGTTTGGTAGAAATTTTGTTTTATCTCACAGCTACAAGGCCGGATATCTTATTTGCTTCAAGTTTATTGTCAAGATTTATGCACAATCCCACTCAATTATATCTTGGAGCAGCCAAGAGAGTGTTAAAATGCATCAAAGGGACACTTAACTACGGCATCAAATTCAGCAAAGCCGCTTCTTTAAATTTGCATGATTATTGTGATAGTGATTGGGGTGGATGCCTTGATGGTATGAAGAGTACCTCAGGCTATTGTTTTTCACTTGATTCTGGAGTATTTTCTTGAGCATCAAAGAAGTAACAAAGCGTGGTACAATTATCCACTGAATCTGAATATGTGTCTGCAAGTTTGGCAACATCACAAATCATTTGGCTTAGGAGAATTCTTGAAAACATTGGTGAGAAGCAAAAGGAAACTACGGTGATGTTTTATGATAACAAATCAGCAATTGACATTGCCAAAAATCCAATTTATCATAGTCGAACTTGCCATATTACTATCAAGCACCATTTTATTCGAGACGCAATTGAAGATGGTGAAGTTGAACTAAAATTTTGCAAGAGTGAAAAGTTGTAGGCATCTTTACCAAGGCACTTCTAAAAGACAAGTTCAACTATTTTCTAGAGATGCTTGGAGTTCAAGAACAACATATGTTGAATAATGTGCTGAATCAATTAGTTGATTAATTACTTAGTAAATGAGATAGTTGGAATGTTCTCTATGTATCTAGAAGGTTGAAAATTAAGAAAGTTGTTGGTAAGTGTGGTTGGAAATCCTTCCTATGTATCTAGAATGATCATTTACAACTAAAAATTGACCTTGTAAGCTCCAAAGCAATACAACAAAAGAGTGAAAGAAATAAAAAGAAAGAAATAATTGAAGCTACCCTTGTTTCCAAATATTCTCAGTTCTTGGTCTAATATCCAACAAAAAGACAAAAAATTAAGCAAAATCTAAACATCCTCTTAGAGCCAAAAATAAATTGTAAATTCAAGAAGTGGCACCAGATTATGCAGCTAGTCGGTGAAATGGTAGTAGTCCTTGGCTAACCGAGGTGGCTCCGTGGCAGACTCACGGTAGACTGCTCACGGATTCACGACAGTAAGTGGCGGTGCATCCTTAAATTCTAACAACAACAAATCCTAATGAACCGATGGTGGTGAGGTGGTGGATGGATTGAGTGAGTTGGTTTGGGTGCGAAAACTGGGAAGCTAACGGTTGCGAGCCGCAGTGCTGTGGAAGACGAGAAGAGGAGATAAAACTAGGGCAACGCCGCAACGGGAAGTCAACACTAGGGCAGCAATGGCCAATATCCTCCTTGATTGGTGATGGTGGTGAGACGGTGGATAGATTGGTGATTTGGTGTGAAGGAAGAGGTGGTTGTGAGTGGTGGAAAAGGGAAGAGAAAAATTAGGGTAGCAATGGGAATCCTCGTTTGGGAATTGAAATTTAGGATATAATTATCAGATACACAGTGAAATGACAATAATGCCCCTATTTTCGAGCCTGTTGAGTAGTTTACAGGTCGTGCTCAACTCGGCTTGTTTCATAAATGAGTACATATAGAATTGAACTTGACTCGTTTACTGAGAAAAACGAGTTGAGTCGAGCCCTTAACAAACTGGGTCGAGCTCGGCTTGCGAGCTATCCGGTTTGATTAACAACTCTATCAAAAACCCATTGTCATTGAGGGGCCTTTTGATAGTGATTATCATTATCATTTCCAAGTAACAACAAAACAGGTGGTAAGTTTTTGCAATGATTTTGAAAGTAAGGTAGGTGATTCATGGAATTTTTTTAAAAAAAAATAATACTAAAACACTTTTTATAATGTGATGTATGTGATATAAAAAGATAGTTGGGATATTAAAAAGGTGATTAAAAAGTATGTTAGGATGCAAGTAAATAATTTTGCAAATAATTATCAATCTAGACAAACCCAGCATATTCTAGATCAAATAAACAAAATTAAACTCCATTTTTACAGATGATGCAAAAATTATTACCTACTTATAGTTTTTGCATATATCCAAAATTTTCATTTCTTCAATATTTTTTCCATGAAATTTATGAAAAATTTTCTATTTCGATTTCATTCATGGGAACAATTTAAATCTTTACTCATAAAACTCTCTTTTTGCTATTGATTTTTTAAACTTTTCTTCTATCAGTCGTTTGATTACACACAGCTAAAGAAAACTTTTGATTCCTTACATAAGACCATATAGATCCATATTTTTGTAGTTTCATTGTAAAACAACACAAAATTAAAAATAGTTTTTAAATTTTTAACCCAGTTTCTATTTTTTGTATTTTTTTCCCTGCTTTAGGGATGTTTGAGTGCGAGGGTGATTTCAAATTTTATTATGATACATTATATTTATATATGTATATCCTTTCACTTCTAGACATGGGCATCGGAAAATAATTCCTTTTTCTTTTACATGTTGTACATAGAATTAATTTGTTGGCACTAAATGGGTAAAAAGAATTAATTTGTTGCACTAAATGGGTAAAACTTGTATATTTTAAGTTCTTATTTTTTTATTAATTATAATATATATATGAGGAGTTTTGATTTGGTAAGTCTAGAATATTTGTTCATTAGAGTGCTAGAGTTTTTATTATTAAAGTCAACTTGTAGGAGTTATCCTCTTTAGATGAGAAAGATCATAGTGTATGATTTAGTTGGGAAAACCAATACAAATATCATTCTAAATCTAATATAAGATTCAAGAACAATTTCATGATTATGAGCCAGGTTACAATTACTTGAACTAAGCGCAAGATTCAGGAACAATTTCATGATTACGAGCCGGGCTACAATTATTTGAACTAAGTGCAAGACAATTTACACCATGAAGTGTGAAATTTGATAATTTAAGACATAAAGTTAGAATTAACGATAATTGAGAGGTGCATATCGCAATTAACGTCATATGAGACCTATAAGGCTTTTAGGCCCCAAGAACAAGGGGCCCATAAGCTTTGCACCGTTCTTATTTCTTAATCATGAACATCATCAAATAATAAAAGTTTGAGGGCAGAAAGTAGAATTATTACGTAGTTCCACACCACTTTTTAGGGTATATTTAACAATTGAGGAACTTTGAGGGCATAAATAGAATTAGTACCTAATACCGCATCATCCAATAAGTTTCCCATTCCAAATGAACACCCGAACCGCCTCTACCATTTGCTCAAAGTCCCACACGCAGTCACACGCTTGATATATAAACTCAGTACTTCATCTTTCTCTGCTGTATTTACTTCCCAATAACAAAGTGGAGAGCAGTGGGAGAAGGGATTAGGCTAATTTTTCTCATATTCCACTCTCTATTTTGTTTCTTTATTGTTTTCAGTTCTTGATAAAATGGTAGGAAAAGCTGTAATTTCTGACGACGAAGGTAAATATGATTTCTTTTTTCTTTCTGGCGAAAACAATCGATGTTTTTTGAAGAAAAATTTGTGCTTAGTTCGGAAGAAGCAAATTTTTTTTAATGATTTTTGAATGGGTTATCCATTATTTGTGAAGATGAGGTTGGAATCGAGGAAGAAGAGAGGGATGAAGAGCCCGAGGACGGGGAGAGAATAGGCCGCGGCCACGACGACGATGAGGAGGACGAAGATGAAGGTACGCCGTCAGATTGTATTTGTTGTATTTGTATACTCGTTTTTCCTTTTAACCTTCTTCAGCTCGTTTCTAGCCTGGATAATATTGGTCTTTTTGTTTGGGGGATTTTAGGGTTTTGATGATTGATTTTGGAGTTTTTGTGCAATGGGCTGAATGGGCATTTGTATTTGGCGTATTTTTTTTAGTGAAATGTTGATTTGGAGGCTTGCTGATGTTTGATTATGGATTTTACTTGCATGTTGTTGAATTTTTCCCCTCCTATTTGTGCTTATTTTCATTGTTTCTTTTCTATTATTTACTTTAGAATTTTGTTCAGGAATTTCACCGTAATCTATTGCTTGGGAGATTTGGGAGAATAATAACAATCTTCGAAAGAAGCTTGGTTAACATTATTATGTACTTGGATGATAATTACTTCATGGAATATCTGAATGAGTAGTTGTAGACCAAATTGTGATGGAAAATGCATAGTGTTGGATACTAAGTAAAACTTCAAAAAAAAAATTCAGAATCTCATAACTGCATTGATTTGGTGTTATTGTGCTTTAATAACAAACTTTGTTGTGCTAATTGTGATTGATTGAAGACTAGGTAAGCTCTATCTCAATCTCCTGTTGTCCCTTAGAGAATTTGCAATGTGCGATATGCTTCTTCTGTTTAAGGACTTTCTTTTCTCTGTTTTGTTGAGCAGAGGAAGGTCAGGATGAGTATGAGGATGATGGGTTTATAGTTAGCGATGTTGAAGAAGAGCAGGAAGAGGAGGAAGACGATAGGGCTGATGATGGTGCGGAGAGACAAAAGAAGAAGAAACGCAAGAAAAGGTTAGCTTCTTCATCTTCTCTCTGTGTTTTTCGTGGTGCTTTTTATATGATAGTAGTAAAGCTGTTTTTTTTTCTGGATAAGGAAAGGAAAAAAGAAACAGTTATCTGATGTTTTTACTCTTAACTCTAGGGAGTCAGAGAGGAATTATGTTCTTGACGAAGATGACTATGAGCTCCTTCAAGAGAGCAATATTACGGTTCCTCGACCAAAGCTTGTAATGCCCCTTTCTTACATTGTTTTTCCTTGCAATGCATTAAAAGCATTGGCAAACAGTTTCTAAAGCTTAAATTCTATCAGGAGAGCAAGAAGTTCAAGCGACTGAAGAAAGCACAGAGGGACACAGCAGAAGAGCATTCTGGGTTTTCCGATGGGGAAGAGTTTGATGAGACAGGGAGGAGGGGAAGAACTGCTGAAGAAAAGCTCAAACGCAGCTTGTTTGGTGATGATGATGGTATAATTAGTCATCTTGATTTGTATTCATGGTGATGGTGGTGAATTCTTATGAAATATTTCAGGACAACCGCTTGAGGATATTGCTGAAGAGGAGCAACTGGAAGAGGAGGATGAGGCAGATATGGGTGAGGAGGATGAGATGGCTGATTTTATTGTTGATGAGGAAGACAGCTATGATGAACATGGAGCGCCCGTGAGGTAAATCTCTGCCATAGATCAATTTTGATAATTGGTCTTTTTATTTCTAACTACTAAAGGTTTCTTGAACTTTATCTTATTGGTTTGATATAGAAGGAAGAAGGTTAACAAAAAGAAGGCCCGGCAGGCACCAGGAGTTTCATCAACTGCTCTCCAGGAGGCACATGAAATTTTTGGTGATGTTGAGGAGCTCTTGAGGCTTCGCAAGCAAGGTTTGGTAAAGATGAGCAGGCATGATGATTCTGGTGAGTGGAAGGAGCGAAGGCTGGAAGATGAATTTGAGCCTATCATCCTGTCTGAGAAGTATATGACCGAGAAAGATGACCGGATACGTGAAATAGATATCCCTGAAAGAATGCAGGTTTTTTTTTTGCCTTTTAGATGGTATTTTGAATGTATGTTACTGGTCTTTTTTTTAACCATCTTCTCGCATCTGTAGGTATCAGAGGAAAGCACTGGTCCTCCTCCCACAGATGAGGTAGATGATGAGAGTTCGTGGATACTTAATCAGCTTGGTAATGGTGTGTTACCTCTGTCTATGAAAGGACGAACAGATACGAATGAGGCTTCTAACGAGCCCCCAATAGACAAGAATCACATTACAAGATTCTTGGAGTTGATGCATGTCCAGAAATTAGATGTAAGCAAGATTTTGGTTGTAGTGCTGAATTTTGACATTACCTGTATGAACTCTTGAACTGAATTTTTTTCTCTATTTTAGGTTCCATTCATTGCTATGTATAGGAAGGAGGAATGCTTGAGCCTACTGAAGGATCCAGAGCAGCCTGAATCAGACAATGATGACCAGAATAATTCTGACAAAAAACCTAGCCTGAGGTGGCACAAGGTATATGATCTGCCATTGATACTGTACTGGAGTTCATTTTGATCTGGTTGAATGATTTTATCGTATGTACCAGCAGATGCTTTGGGCCATCCAAGACTTGGACAAAAAATGGCTGCTTCTTCAGAAGCGGAAGAGTGCTCTAGAATCATACTATAGTAGACGGTATGATGAAGAATCTCGTAGAGTATACGATGAAACTCGATTAAATTTAAACCAGCAGCTTTTTGAATCAATTACCAAAGCGCTCAAGGCAGCAGAGTCAGACCGAGAGGTTGATGATGTTGACTCAAAATTTAACCTGCATTTTCCAGCGGGTGAAGTTGGTGCAGATGAAGGACAATATAAGAGGCCAAAGAGGAAATCACAATATAGTATATGCAGTAAAGCTGGTCTATGGGAGGTTGCAAACAAGTTTGGCTACAGCTCTGAGCAATTTGGGTTGCAGATATCTCTGCAAAATATGGTAGGTATCTTGAGTTTGGTATTAGAATATTGCTCTGTATGTTGACAGGAACATGAGGAATGGCATGTGATCATTTTCCCTGTCCAGAGAATGGAGGAATTGGAAGATGCCAAAGAATCACCAGAGGAAGTTGCCTCAAACTTTACATGTGCAATGTTTGAAACACCTCAAGCAGTGCTAAAAGGTGCTAGGCACATGGTATGTGAACGTATCGTCATGCTTGCATGTCATAACTAACTGCTTTTTCATATTTGATTGTTTAAAAATTTGCTTGTCATTCCAGGCAGCAGTTGAGATTAGCTGCGAACCATGTGTTCGGAAACATGTGCGTAGTGTCTTTATGGATAATGCTACCGTGACGACAACTCCTACTGCCGATGGCAATGCAGCTATTGATTCTTTTCATCAGTTTGCTGGAGTGAAGTGGTTAAAGGATAAGCCACTTACTAGATTTGATGATGCACAGTGGCTTCTTATTCAGAAGGCTGAGGAGGAGAAGCTGCTACAAGTTACTATCAAGCTGCCTCAAGCAGTTCTTAACAAGTTGATTAGCGACTCTAATGATTATTATCTTAGTGACAGTGTGAGTAAATCTGCTCAATTGTGGAATGAGCAGAGGAAGCTGATAATTCAGGATGCCTTTTTCAATTTTCTTCTCCCTTCAATGGAGAAGGAAGCCAGGTCTTGGTTGACCAGTAGAGCGAAAAGTTGGTTGTCTATGGAATATGGAAGGCTCTTGTGGGACAGAGTTTCTGTGGCGCCATATCAGCGTAAAGAAAGTGACAGCACAGATGAAGAAACTGCCCCCCGGGTTATGGCTTGCTGTTGGGGTCCTGGAAAGCCTGCCACAACTTTTGTGATGTTGGATTCATCTGGAGAGGTTATAGATGTTTTATATGCAGGATCTCTCAGTCTTCGTGGTCAAAACATCAATGATCAACAGAAGAAGAAAAATGATCAGCAGCGGGTTCTAAAATTTATGATGGACCACCAACCGCATGTTGTTGTTCTTGGAGCTGTGAATTTGTCCTGTACAAGATTAAAGGAGGATATATACGAGGTATGCACTCTTGAAGTCTTCACAATATTTTATTGCAGTTGAAGTTTATTGTTTAGTGCTTGAGCTTAATTGTTTTCTAAATTTTACAACAATGCCCTTGTTTCCTGGGGATTTTTAGTGGTCTACTTATTAGGAATATATCATTCATCTTGTTCACATTGTTTATGTTCCAAATTACTGCCATGTTTTTCTTGTTTTTTCATTAGTTTGTCAGGGATGTAACCTAACACTTTCTCCTCTCCCCTCCTGAAAAACACATTACAGATAATCTTTAAAATGGTAGAGGAGAACCCGAGAGAGGTTGGTCACGAGATGGATAACTTGAATATTGTGTATGGTGATGAATCTCTACCACATCTGTATGAGAATTCCCGTATCTCAGCTGACCAGCTTCCTGGGCAGTCAGGTAGATGCATTTTCCTAGTTGTGAAAATTGTTTCTGTAATATAGATGGGAAAGTGACCATTTCCTAAATTTATAGGTATTGTCAAGCGGGCTGTGGCTCTTGGGCGCTATCTTCAGAATCCATTAGCTATGGTTGCTACGCTATGTGGACCAGGAAGAGAGATATTGTCTTGGAAACTTGGTCCTTTCGAGAGCTATCTTACTCCTGATGAGAAGTATGCTATGGTTGAACAGGTCATGGTTGATGTGACTAATCAAGTGGGTCTTGATGTGAATTTGGCTGCTAGCCATGAATGGTTGTTTTCTCCTCTGCAATTCATATCTGGTCTTGGGCCGCGGAAGGCCGCATCTCTTCAAAGATCTTTAGTAAGAGCTGGAGCTATCTTCACCAGGAAGGACCTTTTGACTGCACATGGGCTTGGTAAAAAGGTGTTTGTCAATGCTGTAGGTTTCCTCCGTGTAAGACGCAGTGGATTGGCTGCTAGCAGTAGTCAATTTATTGATTTATTGGATGATACAAGAATACATCCCGAATCCTATGGTCTTGCACAGGAGTTGGCAAAAGATGTTTATAAAATGGATGTAGGAGATGACATAAATGATGATGATGAGATGCTGGAGATGGCTATAGAGCATGTCAGGGAGAAGCCTCATCTGCTAAGAGCTGTCCATTCATCTGAATATGTTGCCGAGAAGGGTTTGACCAAGAAAGAGACCCTTAATGGCATAAGATTGGAATTGATGCAAGGCTTTCAGGATTGCCGCAGACCTTATGTAGAACCAAGTCAGGATGAGGAGTTTTACATGATTTCTGGAGAGACTGAGGAAACACTTTCTGAAGGGAGAATTGTGCAAGCAACAGCTCGCAGAGTTCAACCTCAGAGGGCGACTTGTGTTCTTGATTCTGGATTGACGGGCATGTTGACAAAGGAGGACTACACAGATGACTGGAGGGGTTTTGATGATTTGACTGAGAAGTTGCGGGAAGGTGATATTTTAACTTGCAGAATCAAGTCAATTCAAAAGAATAGGTATCAGGTCTTTTTAACTTGTAGAGAGAGTGAAATGAGAAGTAACCGGTATCAAAGCTATCGAGAAATGGATCCATACTACCATGAAGACCGCAGTAGTTTACAGACTGAGCAGGAAAAGGTTCGTAAGGAGAAGGAGCTAGCGAAGAAGCATTTTAAACCAAGGATGATTGTTCATCCTCGTTTCCAGAATATCACAGCAGATGAGGCAATGGAGGTATGATTTGTTCAATAGTGAGATTGAGTTTACATGTTTATGTACATTAAACTTGATGGAGGAAATTCTGTAAGTTTTGTGGACTTTATTCCTGTCAAGCTTTTTATGACTCTTCATTTGTCAAATGGTAATAAAGATTTGACACATGTATGCCTTGAACTGATAATAATTTGTTTAGGGAGCATACTTGATATAGGTAGGATATGACACTTTAAAGATAGACTGAAAGACGGATGTAGTTTTACAGGTATTTATAGAATGTCATCATGTAGAGATGATATGGTTGCCTGGACTGCACCTGCCCACAACTGAAATTGCCATAATCTTAAGTTCATTTATTTAGTAAAATGCTATATAGACTTGCATTATTTTGTTCATTTTTTTGTCTACATTAATGTTCTTGTATTAGCTTGCGCTCTCATTGTTTGGATATTGTTAGGCTATGGTCTAAGATTTCACCTATTGTAATTTTAGTTAAATGCCCTCACTGATGCATGTCTAGTCTGAGAGTGTACTACGTGTGGCACAGCCATTTAATGTTTGTGCTTCTTAAGTGTTGTCTGATTTGTTTCTAATATAAAAGATGTGAAATAATTGTCAAACAATTAGATTTCGTCAATTGTTGATCACGATAGTTATGTTTACTTGAATATGCTTATAACCTCATGTTTTGTTGCTTACTTTTTTCTGGTGCAGTTTTTGTCTGACAAGGATCCCGGCGAAAGTATTGTCCGTCCTAGTTCTCGTGGACCCTCATATTTGACCCTCACACTCAAAGTCTATGATGGCGTTTTTGCACACAAGGACATAGTTGAAGGCGGAAAGGAGCACAAGGATATAACAAGTTTGCTTAGGATAGGGAAAACATTAAAAATTGGAGAGGACACATTTGAGGATTTGGATGAGGTAAGAATCTGGAATCATATTATGTTGAGCTGTTAATTTTATGGATTGTCATGTGACGCACACTGTCCAGTCTTCCCACAATTGGCCCAAAGGGGGTAGTGAATGCAAATTTTATTAATTTATTTTGGACCCTAGTAACCACAGTTTCATCCCCGTTGTTTGTGCAGTTTTTATATAGAATTATGGAGATTAAATCACTTCTCAGGAATATGTTCTTGTAGTTGCTACAGCAAGTGATTGTTTCTCCAATTTCGTCATAACTCATTCTACATTAATCCAAATGACCTGAAATTTTACAGGCACATCAACCTCATCAATACCTACAACTTTCATGTTTTGAGCAAAGTCAAATTCGGCCTCTAACACAGTGATCTAAAACCGGACAGAATTGGGGCTTCAAGAACCCTAAATTTCCAATTTTCCATCCAAATCCAAAATTAGTTGCATTTAACCACATTTGACATCCATTAGAGCCATTTCCAACCATTACAATTCATCATACAAGCCCCCAACATCAAGATCATATTAAACCAGAAAAATTCCCAATAAAATAAAAACTTCACCAAAACATGCCAAATCAAGGGGTAAATCATATAATCCTTCACTCATGCCACCATTAAGCATACTATCACCATCATTAGAGGTAGTAAGGGGTTTAAGCAACACTTACCAAGAAATCAAGAGAGAGAGAGATGTTGAACACCTTTGCTCTTCAAACAAAGTTCACCAACACACTTACTATCACTAGAAGCAAAGTTTTTATGGAGTAGAATCTAGTCTAAGCCTTTGTTTATGGAAGATTGAGGCTTATGGAAGCTTGAAAATTGGAAAATTTCCTTCTTCTTTGAGAGAGAGAGAGCCGGCCATCCAAGAGAGAAAATGGTGATTTTTGGTGAATTTTTGGATATTTAATCCTTGGTCAAAAAAGTCAAAATTATGAATAGTAACTCTTAAAAGTCATCCAATAAGAAGGTGACACTTGTCACCTTCATAAATGCATCCCTATCTTTCTTTTCTCTCTCACATCAATCATTCACACATTCTACTTATCTCTTAACACCCGATAAATTTTACACAGTATCCAAAACTTAACCTTATTGGCCGAATTTTTCCGAACTTTTCGCACTAGTGGGTCCCACGTCCACTATTTACTCTTAATTTTCTAAAATTTCTCCAACGCTAGAAAAATCATCTTAAAACTATAACTGCTCATAAAATCCTCTCAGAAAATATTTCTAAGCCAGAAAATGCAAAATTATGCAATTAAAGGGGAATAAACCCTAGGAAAATAATTAGGGTTTTACGGGCTCTCACAAAGAAAATGCAGAAAAATTCGACGTTGAAGTCCCTGGTGAGTGATGAGAAAAATGCAAACAAAGTCTGGGATCTTTAAGTTCAAAATAGGGACAATTTTGGGAAAATGCGATCTTCGGTGCTATGTCCTTAAAAGTTTTATTCTTTAGCTATCGTTTTCAAGCTACATTACAAGCTAACAAAGTCCATCGTTGACTTATTCTTTCATGACAATCCAAAGTGAGCATTATGCTCGTAAGAAATCCATCAATCATTTGTGATCATGGGGGTATAACCAGTTTTCACAGGTTTAGCTATCGTTATCCATATTGTTGCAACCCTATAAAGCTCATATGTGGACTACATTTTCTTAAGAAATAAGGGTGACAAACTATTTGCTTTCACTAAGATGTGGTATTGAAGGGATTACATACAATATTGGGCACAAAAAATAAGACAAATTCAGACCTCCCATTTCTTTAGCCATTTCAAAAATAAAGTCACTTGATTGGTCCTGAAAGATGAGCCAACCAGAAGTGGTGACTCGTTACCCTAAGCACCAATGCTAAAAGTGAGGAAGAAATCTTCTTGAATTTGGTGTTACTTCGAGGAATTCATCATGAAATTTCTGCACAAGTTCAAACGTGACGTTTAAAGTTTCTTCACATTGTTGTATATGTTCATTCTTTTCTAAATTTTAGAAAGTGCGGTTTTTCTTTGTTCAAATAAATGGGAAATCATCTGAACAAATTTTTGCAATCAAGGGAGCCCACACTGGGGCAAAAATTTTATTTGTGAGATTTCATGAAATAAGCCCATACTGGGGCAAACTTTTTGTAATACATTTGAGATTTTTGTCCAAAATCAAATAATAACATTTTTCAAATCAATCCCGCTGCTCTTTTCATGGAATTTAAATGCATGTCATGCTTTGTTAAGCCCCCCTGTGCAGGTATTCATAGTTGAAATCAACGAAAGAGCATCTGGTGATGTGGAAGGCCGATGTCGAGGAAAGAGAAGAAAGAAGGGAAAAGGGCCCTACACTGGGGGCAAATTATTTTTGAAAAAGATTCTCTCGAAAAATCAGAAAAATTCAAAGTCAAAAAATCAAGTTCAAATTCTTGTTTCTTGGAAAATCAAATTCAATTTCTTGACCAATTGGATGGCAGGATTGGGTCTTATCCCACTGACCATTCACAAACATTCCAAACATTTCAAACATCAAGTTGGGCCTGGACTTAGTGCCGCCAACATCTCAAAGATCACGTTGGGCCTGGACTTCGTGCCGCCAACTTCACAACATCACGTTGGGCCTGAACTTTGTGCCGCCAACATCCCAAATAGCACGTTGGGCCAAGATTTCGTGCCGCCAACATTTCAAAGATCACGTTGGGCCTGGATTTAGTGCCGCCAACATTCACAACATCACGTTGGGCCTGGACTTTGTGCCGCCAATATCCCAAATAGCACGTTGGGCCTAAATTTCGTGCCGCCAATATTTCAAAGATCACGTTGGGCCTGGATTTAGTGCCGCCAACATTCACAACATCACGTTGGGCCTGGACTTTGTGCCGCCAACATCTCAAATAGCACGTTGGGCCTGGATTTCGTGCCGCCAACATTTCAAAGATCCCGTTGGGCCTGGATTTCGTGCCGCCAACTTCATAAGATCACGTTGGGTCTGGATTCGTGCCGCCAACATCCCATTAGGCGGGCTTGGGTTTAATCCCACTGACCAATTCATCATATTGGGGCAAATTATCTTTGAAAAATTTCAAAAAATCGAAAAAATCAAAAAATCAAAAAAAAAATCAAAAAAAAATAAAAAAATTTCAAAAAATCAAAAATCAAATCAAGTTCATCACGGCAGGCTTGGGTTTGATCCCACTGTCCGATTGTCAAGACATTTCATTTACATCGCTACTGGAGCGTGGGTTAGGCCAGTAAGCATTTTCATTTTTCACCGTTGCTGCAACGTGGGTCTATCCCATTTACATTTCTGTTTGGGTCTATCCCATTTAAATTTCTGTTTGGGTCTATCCCATTTAAATTTGGGTCTATCCCATTTAAATTTCTGTCTGAGTCTATCCCATTTACATTTCTGTCTGGGTCTATCCCATTTAAATTTCTGTCCGGGTCTATCCCGTGGGTCTATCCCATTTACATTTCTGTCTGGGTCTATCCCATTTAAATTTCTGTACGGGTCTATCCCATTTACATTTCTGTTTGGGTCTATCCCATTTACATTTCTGTCTGGGTCTATCCCATTTAAATTTCTGTCCGGGTCTATCCCGTGGGTCTATCCCATTTACATTTCTGTTTGGGTCTATCCCATTTACATTTCAATTTGGGTCTATCCCGTCGGTCTATCCCGTGGGTCTATCCCATTTAAATTTCTGTACGGGTCTATCCCATTTGCATTTCTGTTTGGGTCTATCCCATTTACATTTCTGTCTGGGTCTATCCCATTTAAATTTCTGTCCGGGTCTATCCCGTGGGTCTATCCCATTTACATTTCTGTCTGGGTCTATCCTATTTACATTTCAATTCGGGTCTATCCCGTGGGTTTATCTCATTTAAATTCCTGTTCGGGCCAGTCCCGTTTTAATTTTCTGTTCGGGTCAGTCCCATGATTTCATTTTATTCGGACCAGTCCCATGATTTTCGTTTTATTCGGGTCAGTCCCATGATTTAAAGCTTATTCGGGTCAGTCCCATGATTTTCATTTTATTCGGGCCAGTCCCATGATTTTCGTTTTATTCGGGTCAGTCCCATGATTTAAACCTTATTCGGGTCAGTCCCATGATTAAAAGATTGTTCGGGTCAGTCTCATGATTTTCATTTTATTCGAGTCAGTCCTATGATTTTTAGTCCCATGATTTTCGTTTTATTCGGGTCAGTCCCATGATTTAAAGTTTATTCGGGTCAGTCCCATGATTAAAAGTTTGTTCGGGTCAGTCCCATGATTTTCATTTTATTCGGGCCAGTCCCATGATTTTCGTTTTATTCGGGTCAGTCTCATGATTTAAAACTTATTCGGGTCAGTCCCATGATTAAAAGCTTGTTCGGGTCAGTCCCATGATTTTAAATTTTGTTCGGGTCTATCCCGTTTTAAATTTCCTGTTCGGGCCAGTTCCGTTTTAATTTTCTGTTCGGGTCAGTCCCATTTTAAATTTCTTGTTCAGATAGTCCATTAAAAATTTTTCTTCTCAGTTAATCTCATCAAAAGGGGTCAGTCCCCATCGTTCGAGTCGTTCACAGCCGAATAACACAGGTAAGTATTTGGTGTCTATTTCTTTGTCTCAAGTTTTTTCAAAATTCAGACAAAGATGGGCAAACTGTAGACACCAAATTTTTGGCGTAATTTCATTTACTATTTAATTCTTAGTTTTTTATTTGTCGTGTTAAGTTTTATTCACTTTTTTAGTTTTTAGTTTTTATTTTATTATTTTTTATTTTAAGTTTTAGCGTAGAATTTCTTGTAAAAAAGAAAAAGCATTCAAAAAATATGCTTTAGTTGTTTTGATTTAAATTCCATGTTTTCTTGAAAAAAAAAAGAAGAAAGAAAAGAAAAAATGAAAAATGAAGGAAAAATTGAAAAATGGCAACTTTGTTGTTTTTTTTTTAGTTTATTTACTTTGATGTGACTTTATTTTAGTTATTGTTTGTTTTTTTTTTTTGCATAAAACTGCGTTTTTAACTCTTGGTGGTTCCCATAAGAATCTGAGTTCATGTTGGATTGTTTCTGGTTTAATTTCGCATTTACTTCGGTCATACATGGCTGCTCGCCTAGTCTCTTGTGCATTTAGTTTCTTTCTCACATTGTTACTCCTATCCAGGTTGTAGTTTTTTTTGGTTTCTTATTGTACAGCAAATTTGCATGAT